AACTACTGTAATTTATTTTATATTTGATATATTTATTATTTTATATTCACATTTGATTTCGTATAGGCTTATTTTCAATCTACGCTCTATTTAACAATACATTTTTTTAAACGTTTTATATCTGGAAGAATTTTTGTTTATCATCATCAAGTGTTTGACAAGTGTTCTTGTCTTATCTGTCATTTTCATAATATATAAATTCGTTGAAGTCATGAGGTGCGGTCAAGAATGAAGTAGTTTAGAAACCACATTTTTCATTTTTTTGCCGATGTTTCAACCTTTATTCGGGTCATCTTCAGGGCATAAAATGTGGTACTATTCTTTTGACGTCATATTAGTGTTGTGTGAAAGTGTTGTAATATATAAAGATTTTTTTGTATTGTTACTTACTTTGTATTTTAAATCATAAATGTGCTTTACAAGGCCGATGAGCAGGAATTTCAAGACATCTTTGCATAGCTATGTTTACACTCTACCTACTAATTTCACATAAAGCAAGTTTCAAAACATTTGCAAATATAAATGTTCGTACATACAAAATATTGTATTAATCAATGACTTAACGATACATACATCATATATCGAAGCCCGACCCGTTCTTTCCATTTGAATATATTGAATATATTTTAACAAACATTTTTACTGGGTTCAACCGTTTCTCTTTAACTATTATTGGCCGCGCACATTTTCTGGCTAATATTGAAAAACATAAGGCCATTAAAAAAGTTTTATTTTACAAAATAAGAATGTACCACCTGACCAGAATACTTAAGAATAAATAGGAGTCTTAACATTCACATTAACATACTATTTTACAAATTCTGCTTTTACAAAAAATAAATGTCAAAACGCACAAATGTTTAAAGGTCTTGCAATAATCTACGCATTAGTAATTTCAAATCATGCATCGTCCCTCACAACAAATTATAACTGTACCTGTGCTATGGACCCGGATCAATTAAGCAATTTATTGTAATTATGGATTTAACATCTAACATCCAACTCTTCACCTGCGGACAGAAACACCCCAATCTCACAAAATCCACAAATCCCCCCCCCCAAAAAAATAATAAGCGTTGAAAAACAACTGATTAAATCTTGGTCCAATCAAAAGTCAAGAAGATTTCTGAATAAAGATCCCAAGAATTAAGTACAGAGTAAAAAAAAAATTAAATACATAAAATAAAATAATTGTAATGACGAGTTAAATAAATAAGGTGCATTTAAAATATATAAAACCCCGATCAGCCAGATTTGAAATGTGCTTTACAATACTTAACACATCACCCACTTGAAAGTCTTGTGATAATCTACGTCTTAACGATACATTTCTATTCCTCTGTGGGAGCCAGACCATCGGTAGCATTAGATTTTTTTTCAAAATCTATTGAAATCCATTTTTTCACGTGTGAACCAGGACAATAAATCTTAAAATCAGAAAAGTTATAAACGTATTTTCTACTAAATTGTGGTTTCGCACATACGAAGTGAAAAAATTAAATGTTTACCTCGTTCGACAATTTAAACACAATTGCTTTTATCTGGTCCGTTTGTTTTCGCTACGTACAACCGCTGTTTCTGTTGTGATTTAAGAATAGTCGGCCTAGGGGGAAAAATTGACCACCAATAATATTCAAATCACAAGCAATATAAACACACCTTTCTCGACTATCTTTTAAAATAAATCGTAAATGGACCGAACTGTTCTCGTCTGGTCTGTCCGTATTCGTTTTGTATAATCCCTTTTTTTGACATTTTTCCAAAGTAAAATGTAAACTTTTTCATTTGTAAAAGTAAAGAGACATAACAATATAACCTTTTGTAAATTATGGTTCTACTCACAGATTAAGAGTGAACTATAAAGAACGAGTATAACTGGGAGTAAAACCACTATTTACAAGAAGTGAATCTACCTACTCACCCATCATTTTTAATAATATTAAAGTTCAAATATTTAGAGACTTATTTGCGATGAAGCCTGACCAGGGCGAAAAGTGGTGTCAACGAACCCCAATAATTCTCAAATAAAAATGTTGACTACTTTTAAGCAGAATTAATTAATTATATGTAAAAAACAGCTATTTTATACAATTATTATCCATAATTTATATATATATATTTTTTTTTTTTGTAATGAATCAATTCATTGGTACGTGATCTCTGGAGGTGCATAAACTTATAGTAGCGTTGTTTTTCTTGGCTAAGCTCCTTGATGCGAATATCCCACCCGGTGTTTATTTTAAATCATCCATGTAAAAATCAAACAACTCCCAATCTACCTAATATTAATCTTTATTATTTTTCGCGTAGAGCCGGCAGGGGGTAGACAAGTTGTAACGTCAAAACTGGTTGCGTACCTCACTCTCCCATAGACCAGACCCATTCCAATGCCCTCAATTTCGCAAGTCTCGCCCTCTCGGCCAATCACTTTTCCCCCCAGGCCATAAAACCAGGGATTTTATTTATTTTCAACAGACGGACCACGAGGAAAGTCCTTCGAAAGTCTTAAGACAGAAGAGCCGTCGTATAAACCTTCCCCAGATGAAACAATCACCGATGAGGGGAAAATAAAAACAAATACAAAGCCACTTACCACGTAAATAACGTAATTTTTAAATTTAATGTGCGTTTGGAAGAATTCAATCGCGTTAGCACCGTATGTCTAGTATGGTGAGTCGTTTTCTCTCCTCCGCCTCTCTCCATCCACTCCAGAAATAAATTAAACGAGACCACCAAAACAAATTGAGTCCTTACCGAACGCCATTACTCTGCTTTTCGTCTCGCACCGTCGCAGCTCGCAGCTCAGGGTCTCGGCTCTGTGTCGGTTCCACCTCGGTGTGGAACGTTTCCGCCAGGGGACTCGACCGCCGTCCGACTGCCACTCCACAAGTCTTTCACCACGAATTATTCAGAGCCCGACTCAAACTCCAACTAACTATACATATCAACTTTTTTTTTTTCTGTAATAATTATCAATAATAGAATAAAACTCAAATCCCCTGAACTGTATCTAACTGAAATTGCCTAACACCCTCTACAACAGCAAACTAATTTAAATAAAAAATGACATTAAACAAATTTAAAAAAATCCTCTAAGACAACTCACAAAACCATTCAAAACTCACAAAAATCGTACAAAAAAATTCAAGTATGTTGTATATAAAATTAAATAGTTACACAGTGGGCGCTGGTGCGGTCAAGGACGAACCCCCTTCCCGTTCGTTTATGAATCCGACTGTGACTGACTAGGACTGGAACGGGATTTTGTGAACAGATTAACAGAACGTACAAATAGGAAACATTCGTTTTAAAAATCAAATGCAAATAAATTTGACGAACCGGGCTCGATAACATATAACTAAATAAAGACTTTTGATTAAAAGTCATTCAATTTCAGAACAAAAATAATAATAATTTAAAAAATCTATTGAATAGTTTCATAAATTTTAAAAAACAGTGCTTTGACCCTAATCTGAACTTCGATACTCCGAACATTTCCAATACTCTGAATTGGATAAATTTTCAAGAAGTCGGATGCTAAAGGAAACAAATGATATATTACTTTGGGGAAGGGTGAGGAGTGTGTGAGAGAGAGAATGAGTGAGCGAATGTGTGTGTTTGTGTGTGTGTGTATACATGAGAAAGAAAAAAGAGAAAGCGAGTGAGTTGGAGAAAATTAGTATATTTAGAGAAGGATAGATTGAGTATGAAAGAGAGAGAGAGAGAGTTAATAAAGAAGAGTGTATGAGAAAAAAAAAGAAAGTGAGTGAGTGAGAGAAAATAAGTGAAGTGAGTGATTGAGTGAGAAAGAGTGTGGGAGAGATAGTGAGTGAGAGTGATAGTTACAATACAACATACATATAATTATACAATAGACAAAAACCACCATTTTTTAAAGAAAAAGTAATAGTATATATGTATCATATCTAATAAGTTTAACATTTTATGTAAGCAATAAGAAATAATAAGTGTTGAATTTTTGTTTGTTTCAGACATGTTTCAAAAAATAAAAAATCCATGCAGAACACTGAAACTGCAGAATATTACATAAAATGCTTCACTTACTGTAAAAACGTACTAAAAAGAAATTACTCAACAGCTCAATGAAAATTTGCGATAATTTTGCTTTATCCACTTTACTTGGAAAAGTTTTCTCACCATCTATTCAACATCTTTTCAATTGCCTATTATATTTAGTACCATTTATATTCGGGAAAAACTAACAAGTATGGGGCTTTTGCCGAGAGATTTAGTGACATGCAAAAAACAGAAACATCATACTTTTGAAATATGTATAAATTACATCAAAGAACAAAAAAAAAGTGATGTTTCAAAATGCATAAAAATCTTTGCAGGGCATCCAGGATATCAGTAAAATCAGTAATTAAAACAGCAAAAAAGCTAACATGAAAGCTTCAATAACTGTAAAGAAAACTTATTCAATAACTTACAAATTATTAAACCAAAAAAGTAACAAATATAAAATTTTAAAAGTGGTAAAAAGCAGAAAATAACAGAAAAACAAAACTTTCCAGTCCTACTAAGCGGGCCTACATCAAGAACTGCAAGAAATTTGATTAAAAATTATATTTATAAATATGTACATGATATAATAAATGAATGGTTGTTAGTGTGAAGAATGAAAGAACATAATGATTTTCATTGATTTCTGATGATTTATAGTATAATAATCTACTAATAATATTTAATGTCTTTCTCAATATGAATATAATTGATAATAAAAATGATAAGAAATTTAATAATTAAAATGTCATACAATGGTAAAATGAAATATTCATTTTTCATTCATGTTATATGGCTATAAAGAGATCAAGTGAGTCTGCAATTAATTAAAATATACATAATTTTAATGAACTGTTTATTAATAAAATGGTAATAGAAGGCAGAGTAGCACTTTTTAATACATACTACTTACTTCTGCGGTGTCTGTTATGCATAAGTTATAAATCAGAGGCTATATCAAGAAAATTACAACATTCTTTTATTGCAGATAAATAACTTTAATAAAAAATAAATAAATTACTCCATTGTTAACTTAACTATATTACATTGTCAAAAAAAAAAAAAAACATTGTTTGAAACAATTCATTTATGGATATAAATTTCAAAAGTCATCGTCGCTTGGATCAGAATTGTTTGTTTCTATCGGGAGACCTTCAATATCATCCCCACTTCCCAGTAAATCGGAATTATCGCCATCATCGTCTAAAAGCAAATCTGAATCTGAGTCAAAACTGTTACTTTCATCATCTGGGGCATTCATCCCTCCATATATCCTTTTTCTTCCTGTGGCCATCCTCATTTCTAGAATAGCATCGAATCGCATTATTTCTTGGATCAGAGAATGTGGAGGTTCAGGATGAAGGAAAAGGATAGATGGGAATGATAAGCGAGGTGGAATGAGAATGGATCAGTGCAATTTATGGAAGATCTAAGAAAAAAAGTATTAAATCTATAAATCCAACTGTATGTCATTCATATTTCAATTCTTGTAACAGTTAAAAATCTCTCTTTATGTCTAATAATGATTTTCAGCCTATTCTCATTGGTACTGTCTGATTGATTGATTGATTGTTTATGATTGGTGAAAAGGTGAAACATGTTGATAAACAAAACCAGTGAGATAAGGCAGGCCAACATGATTTATTCAATAAATATTTACATATAATATTTCATCATCATTTAAATATCAAATGTGGCAGTGTTTAGAAAAAACTGATTAGTCATTTTTTCAGGATTCTGAATTATCCGAATATTGAATTAAACAGATTATCGGGTTTAATTTAATCTAATTTTAAAAACTCAGTTGTTGGTTTTTATGTTTATTTATTTATTAATGATATATTAATTTATCTTCAGATTCCGAATTTTATGGCTAATATAAACAGCAGCAATTGAATATTTATAAATTATTTTGTGATTAAAGTTAATCACTCCTAAGGGATTTAGTTTCTTAAATAATAAATAAATAATACAATAATTGTGTAATTTGGGACATACTTGATGCAGTTGCAGTTCTTAATCTTCTAGTTGCAGGTTGGGTCTTGTCGTTCATATTTATCATCCCTTCCAGATGGCCAACTTCAAGATCAGCTTCAGATTCCATCAGTTTTCTCGCATCTTCCATTTGTATTTCCTCCATTAATTTCCTTGTCTCGCGCTTTCGTACAAATATAAATAAAACCAATATTACACGACTTTCTGTTACGATGACTCTACATTACTTTATTTCTGAATTTTTTAACGAATAATTTCATCGATTACCTGGCGGTGCTGCATCCTTTCATGTTCGATTTGCACTGCTTCTTCTTGTTGTTGTCCCAAATAGGAAATACATCGTGTTCGTACGATATATTCTTGGTACAAAGTTTGAAGTTCAACCTCCAATTTTTCAAACTCTTCAAGAAATGCTGGCCTTAAATGTGATATATTAAATTTAATAAAATAAAATTTCTTAAAAAAAACAATCATTTAGAAATTTAAAAAAATGAAATAATAAGAGTCAATGAAGTAAAAACTAGATTTTACAGACTTGTTAATGAATCATTAAAAATTAATCAATTTCATTCATTATGTAATATTTATGTGAAACACTAGTTTTGTAAGAAATAAACATATTTAGAATGTCCTTCTTTTAAATAATTTTTTTTTTTAACTTTAGCCTTACAAATGGTGTAAATATTAACTAATCATCACCTCACTTTCTTCAATGTTTGTAGTCTTTTTTGGTTTCTTTCGAGCTCAGTTTGTTTCTTTTCAATTTTTTTATCTAGACTACTCTCTGTTGCTGCTACATTTTCGATAAGGGATTTTGTATTTGCTATACTATCTTTTGTGTATGCGATAGCTTCTTTTAATGCTGTTTCTACTTTGTTCAGTTCCAATAAGTTGCTTATACTTGAATTTCTTATTTCCTTTAAAATAAAAGTACAAACATAATAATTATGTAAATATATGTTTAATTTTAAATATTACTCTTAGTTCAGCTTCTTTCCCTAATAGTTCATAAATTGAAGCTCCTTTAACTGTAACTTGAGAAGCTAGCTCACGTGAGAGTTTGAGATCTTGTATCTAAAAAAATTAAGAATCAAAGAATAGCAATTACTTTTAATAAAATTAAATATATATATCTTACTTAAACTCACATAAGATGTTACATCTATAGCATTGTTTGAAGACCACTGTGTGTTTGAGACAGTACCATTTGCGTTTGCTTGAAGAGCATCGTACAAAAGGGTTGCAATCTTTAGCAATTCTTTTACAGCATAACCATCTGCTTGGTAAATACGTTTTGTATTTAACATTACATTGCCTTTTAATGCCTGTTAAAAATAATTAAACATTGCAAAGTATTTTAAAATGCATTTGAATCTATTTACCATAAATTCTGCTGCACTCCTCACAAGTATAACTCGGTCTTCTTCTGTATTATATGCATCATGAATATCAGCATCAGGATCAAATCTATGTACAAGCCATATTAAAATATCAGCGATAAGGACAAAGTTTGGAGTTCGAAAATTTTCCATTGATATCAACCGACTGAATCCAAGAGCACGCATCATCTCTGTGAAATCTGAAATGATTTAAGTTTATAGACAAATAATAAGTAGTAAAATATGTAAATATGTAATGCAGTCATTATGTAAATTTATTTATTTACTTTTTAATTTGGAGGAGAGAATGTAATGGCTTTTTTTTTGACTGGGGCTACCAACATCTAGGTCATTTCAGCCCCCAACTAAGTCTATATTCTATTTACCCTTTCAAACACTACATTCATACAAATAAATACATTCATACACTTAACTACATCCATACAGTACACTCATTCCGTTTGGTCGGTGGAGTACTTGATATTCCTCCACCGACCTATACTTAAACTAATCTAGATTGGGGTCGATAGAGTACTTTTATAAATATTCTGCCATCGACCCCAAACCCACACTCATACACTCTCAACGTTCGAGGGGCGATGATGACATTATATTTCACCCTCACCCCTCGCCATTCACGCTAATAAATACATTCACTCAGACAAAACATATAGACACACAATACATAAGACATATACAATGAAAAAACCCAATTTCCCCTAAAAAGCAGAACAGGGGACTCTGAAACTCGCTACTGTGTTCGAGAACTCTTCTTAAGTCCGGCGGCATGCCTACATGCTCTCTGTATGGAGCCAAGGCATGACATGCCTCTATTATGTGGGACACAACCTTCGAGCAACCTTTCTCTGCATAAGGGGCACCTGTGCGGGCTTTGGCCCAAAAGCAGGTGACCATGTGTCAACCACGTATGGCCAATCCTCAGCTTATTAACTCGCATATTAGCCAAAGTATGTGTATGTATGTTGGGAGAAGGGTAGTTTGAAAAAAAGTACCGTGGGCGATGGTGGGAATCGAACCCGTGACTATGGGGTCTACGAACCGAGGGTCTATCACGCTGACCCTCATTCGGCTACCACAGTCCCTGGTTTGACACTAGATTTTTGTCTAATCACTGAATATGCTCTATCCATTAAAAAGTTAAACATTGTCCTAAGGTGACACTTCACTTATTTCTTTTCAGCAAAACTGGCATAACATAATACTAGCTAAAGTTTCACTGTCATATAGATTGTGTTCAAATGGATTTTCTTGACAGAGAAGGCAAATATTTTTTGGCGTTTCCAAAATCCATGTTCTGTTTATGGCTTTCTCAAATTTGAGAAACATACCTGTGTGAAATATTAATAAACCTGTTTGATTATTTTAAACTTGGTTTTTTATTTACTATAGCTCTATTTCTCTAACCATTTGCTCAATTGGGGTTTGGTGCTATGGGGTGTGTGCAGCACTTCCTTTTGCAAATCTCAGGTCCTGGCATCCACTTTTTTTTGTGTGCAACTTTGTTGAAGGCCAGACTAGCTGGGTGCTGAAGGCAATTAAACAATAAAGCTCTGCCTGGCTTTCAGACTATGTACTTCAGCTATTAGTACTTCCTGTGTATGTTCAACATCATGGACCTTGGCATGATAGAGGGGTTTGGATAGGGTGTTGTTTAATATTTTTCAAAACAGTCTTTAAAAGTTTTTATTGTTTTTTGGCATTGAATGTATTAAAGGGATTTTGTTGTCAGACTAGATGGCATTAAAATTATAATAGAACAGAACTACAAGCCTACTTACTCCTCAGGTCTCTAAATGACATTTTCTTCTGAAACGTTTAATATTTCTGTTTCACTTTTTGAGGGATACTGAAACACCAATGACCATAAAAGCAAATACGTCTTTTATAACCAAAATCTAAATTTCTATTTATCTTTGTAGGTAGGTAGTACATGTCTTTTGTATACTACCCATCACCTTGGCAACCCCCAAGGAGTGACATCATTCCCTACGAAGTGGCCGAAAAGAGTTCTACATGACAACTTAGAGGTTACACTTACGCAAGTGACAACAAACTGATGTCGGTTGTCGCCCCATACATGAAATTAACAAGAAATCGCTCAAAAAGCTAAGTAAACTTCGAGTGATATGAGACAGAATGGACAATTATTACGAAATACTCGGCTGCAGGCCTGAAGCCAAGCTCGAGGAGTTGAAAGAGTCTTACCACAAGCTTCTCCTGGAATACCACCCTGATAAAAGGACTTCGTCGTCCGAATATTTCCATAAAATCAACGAAGCCTGGACCACTTTGAGAGACCCGAAGGAGAGAAAGTTATACGACGAGATCCTGAGGCAGAAAGAACTGGAAGAGCAGACATTCCTCTACGGAAACTATTCCCTTCGAGAGATGACACATGAACCTACAACAGGGATGTACTCATTTCCTTGCAGGTGTGGTGGAATGTACAATTTTACCAAAAAGGACTTTGAAGAGTTCAATTCCTACTTAGTTGGCTGTGATCAGTGTTCATTAATGATTTCTGTTGATTTGCAAACTTAAATCTTATTTTTTTTATATAATTATTAATTATAGTTAATTTTATTATTATCTTATTTATACTTTTTTTTTTCTGTTATATGCTTTCTAGTTAGGATTTATCAACAGTTCACTCTCGTACCATACAAGAAATGTGTCCAAATTAATTACAAATTATCATTAAATTATTATTTTTCTTCAAATTTTAGTAGATTGGATAATTGACCAGGTAAATAAGACATGTGAATTTGTGAAAGGACTCTCCCTATTAGCAAAGCATATTTATTGGGTAATAAAACAAATTATTAAAAATCAAGCTTTATTTTAATTTTTATTATTAGTTATGGGTAGGTTTTTTTATTAAATAAGAAGTTTACTTTTTTTAGCCACTAAAAGTATGAACATTTAGTTATATTAAATGTGCATAATAATAATTTAATTTGTTATTTAAACATCATAAAGTTATCGCCCAAGAAAGACAATTTGAAACTTTTAATAAAATGCTATATTATGTATTGTAATTATTTACAATTGTAATATTATTAATAAATTAAAAAATAGTTTGCTGCTGTCTTACAATTGGTCTGTAAGTAATTTATATTTATACATATACAAGTTGTTTACAATTACATATTTGGTTATTTTAATAAAATAATGGTAGTTTTATTTTTCAATTAATCAACTTTTACACCTGATAAATTTTTACCATTATAAATAATATACATAAACGATTTGTATTAAATTAATCACTTATTAAATGGTACTCTTTACCTTCCTCCGTCATTAATTATATTAGTTGCACATGCATATGTATATTGCCAAGAAAACCTTTCCCTCGTTACATCCCAAAGCCTATTCCTTTTCATATTTTCCTATGGAATCTACTGCTAGCTTTCACTGCATCCAAGATTAAAAAAAAAAAATCCATTCATAAAAACAAGTTTGAATGCAGGGTCACTGCATTTGAACCCGAGACCTTTACATTACAGTGATGATCACCGTCTATGCTCAAAACCATTGCGGCCACCCCCTAAAGATCCAACATTTCCTAATTGGTTTACTACCAATTTTGTATTTTAATAATGTATAATAAATAGTGACTGTATATAATTTAATCACTGTATATTTTGTTTTTAGAGTTTCCTAGTGGCTTTTAAGGTGTGACAAATTTATATCTATTAATTAGTACAAAGTTTTTCAAATTACATTCATCTAACCCAAAGGTGACCTTCATTTATAGTGATGGTTCCAAGAATTCCATCGGAGTGGGAGCTGTGACATAACTGAGTCCAGAAGACTTTTTTTACCTAGCTGCATTCTCTTAATAATAATTAGTTACTATATTAATAAATAAATGTAATATATTTACTTATTTAAGTTAATATTGATAAATAAATAAACATTAACATACATGACTAAAACTGAACTTTATACATTTATCCAAACTACTTTATTGTCGGATAACCACATTGTTACACTGAAAGATTTAAATTGGTTGAATCGACTTTTCTCATTTTTGGCCAATTTTCTGGGAATAAAGCATTTAGTTTTCCCTCTCTCTCTGCCAATGAGTGCATGAGAATAATCTTGCCATTCATTAGTCTCCGTTTTATGCACTGAGTATAACAGGCTGTTGGTCTTTGTAGAAGTATACAGAAAAGCCTGACAGTATCGACACCATGTGGTTGTGACAACCCGAGAGGCTGAACCTAAATCCACTCAGCCGCTATAGTTTTCTAAATTGAGCCTTATTTATTAACTTTCTTAATGGACTTTATACCACCTTTAAGACTTTTTATTAAAACTTACAATTTCTTAAGAAAAACTGATATGTGATGGTAAAAAGGAAAACGAAATTCACACTGTAAATTTACATTATTAATATGTCAATATTAACATTTTAAGGCAAAGGCTGCAGTGTTTAGACAGGACATAAAAGGGCAAACTTAGTATTCCATTATAAATTGAAATTCTTTGGTAAAAAAATAAATAAATAACAAGAAAATGTGTATATTTGTGTTACAAAATGCAGATGTATCTCATGCGATGTTCATTCTATTTTTTAAAAACATGTACGTATACTGAACTTCACTATCCTTATACTTGAGATGCAACTGTTCGATAAGAAGGAACAACTCATTAAAAGCAATATTATCAAGATCATTTTGAGCATAATCAAATGTAATTAAAGGATCCAATTCTAAACTTAAATCTTGATTTGAAGAATTTTTGTTGAAAGGAGATTTTATATGGTAAATTCTAACATAAGATGTTATTAGAAGATGGAATAATCGAATCTGCTTATCATATTCATTTGTGTAGGTTGGTTTCTCTTCTTTATTTAATTCTGCAAAATAAATTCCATTAATAGAAATAATTTTCTTCAGTTTGCATTTAAAAATATAAGCAAGTTCTTTCATTGCTGAGAATTTGGTGTTTCGCTCACTAGGTTTTCAAATTTTAATCCATGTATTAAATTTATCATTTAGCTCCAAATGGAAAATAAATTTGTTAGATTTCTTCCAAATTTTGTCTAAACTGTATACCATCTATCCTGAGAGGCAAAAAAGTGGCTACCCTGAATATATTTAATTTTATTATCTTACAATATTTGGTCTGTTTTAAAGGATTAGAGGTAAATAAAATATATATAAAATTTCCCACTTAAGTTTTTAAAATTGTTTTTGTGATGGTTTTAAGTGATAAAGATTTGGCTAGAAACATAGCATTGTTAAAAGAAGGCAAGCATATGTGGCCAGGGGGCTTAACATTCCCTGAACAACTGCCCAATGCATTGTAGATATTTCATTAGAAGTGAACCAAGTGAAAAATTATTCAGAAATCATAAGATAAGAAATTGAACTATTCTAGCTAGTTTGCTGTCAGATCTATTTCCACTTTTTGCCAGGGACAAATTGGAAAGAGAATATTGAAGAATAATGCACAGACCGATCAATTAAGGTGGCAAAATGGATTGAACAAAACCAGTGGGAAGCAGATCAAGATATTCTGTAATTTATGTTATATGTTATTTATGTTATTCTGCTGTAATTTATGTTATAACATAATTTGTTTAATGTTAATAGTTTTTAGACAAATGATTAATTTTAGAATTGTAATAGAATTTTAGAAGTGTAATATATAAAAATTTACCTTGTGATTTCCTAGAGCATCTTTTTTGTTTTTTAAACGTATTACCTTTTTCCTGTAAAACCCACAGATTTTTATTTTTTAATGTTTAAAATATAAATTTTGAATTTAACTAATTGTCAAAATATACGTACATTTTCCTTAAGTAGTTTATTCGTCAATTTTTCTTTCACAGCCTGTAACTGAATGTATTTGATATAATTTTATATTTAAAAAAGTTTATGAGATAAAGTACTTAGCAATATAGGACATACAATGCTGTCTAATGTAATCTTATCAGGAGTTGATGTCTTAATGTCAAGAACATTATAGCAAACAAGCATTTTCAACCACATAGGACAGATCATTTTAATTATATCAACCATGCCTGAATCATTTCTTGTATCTGTTCAAAAAGGGTAACAACTTAATAAAAATTAGAGGATCAACCTTAGTGTAAAATATACTTAGATTTCTTACTGGAAATGTGCAAAGCAAGCTGACATGCAAATGTCATACAAAGTGTACCAAAATAGGGAAAAACATTTATCCTGTTTTTATCATTAATCCTTGCTATTTCGGCTAGCATTGAAATATATCTCTGGAAGTACAACAAATATTATTTCCATTTCAATTGCCTATTGCAATTACATACATATATGTATCGGTTGTACTCATCAGGCACATTTGTTAAAAGTTTAAAAATGCATATGCAATGTTGGTTAACAGAACCAAATTTTTCCTTGGGTGAAGGCCAAGCTGTTTTCACTATCATGGGGTAACTGGACCTTGGCATTTTTTTAAGATATATTCTTGCTCTTCGCACTAGAAACATCTATTTAAACAAAAACCAAATTAGATTAAAGCATTTCAATTCATTAATAATGTAACAACTTACATATAAATCCTGGTCGATTATGTCCATGAATATGTCAAAAATAACAAAGAGTCTTTCTAATTTTTCAACAGAGCTTAGCCCATTTGGCAGTTTTTCAGCAATCTGAGCAAAATAAAACATTAATTTTATTAAAAACCATCCTAAAAATTAATACACTCACTTGGCTGCACGAAGGATCATTTAACTTATCTACTAACTGTGTAACCAATAATGAGAAATTGGTGGACGAATAAGGGACTCGTTTTTCATTGAAATTGTCTCCTTCCATTTCCTCGAGAGACATTTTTCTTTTAACAGGCACTAGTGTTTCCATTATAACAGACAATTCTTCCAAAACTTTTGGCAGATTGTAAAATAAAAATGAAATGTTGCAATCCTGCAAATAATTATTTGTTTATGAACATTTTTGACAAAGTCCTTTTTTTGGCACACTTGCCTGACTTGTTAAATTGTCGTTGATTATTTTGCTGTAATACTCTTTCATATTTTTATCACAAGGTGAGTGAATTTTTAAGTGAACTTTTAAACATTCGACAAACCTTTGATAAAGTGATTCATCTTCTAAATCCTGAAATGAATCGATGAAAGCTTTCATAGCATTATAGAAAAAATCATGCCCAGCACAGCTGTGTGTTACTTACTGTGAGAGCATACAAAATAGTACGAAATATTTGTTCGTCCAGGTAGTAATCTGGTGTCACATTTATTATCAACGACTGGTAAAGAGGAAACCAGTTTTTATCATCAATTAAACAAACCATCATTTCTTTTATGGTATTATTGATTGGACTCGAACATGTCTTAAATTTAAATATGCATATTTATTAGTTAAATTAGTGGGGGAAATTTAAGCTATTGACTCAAACCTTGTGGGCATCATCACATGCTGATTCTTTACTACATTGGAAATACGTAGGGCGGAAATTATTATAAATAGGATTAAAGAGATCACACTTGAATAGGAAATTCAATTTGGTGATGTCAGAACTGTTCAGTTGACCAGATTTCATAGATGTTTTTACTACCCTGAAATTTAAACAAATGTAATTGATTAGTTTTGTAATAAAATACAACAATATTGCTGAAATACCTTGATGATGACATTTTAACTGAACTTGTTTTCTTCAAGTGTGCTTAATGTATCATTGGTTAAGAGATCTGTATAATCACATACAATTTAAAATTAAATTTTATTATTTATTGGATAATATTAATAGTAATATTATATAATGGATAAAACGTAATATAATAACTGACCAGTGCTACAAGGAAAGGGGGAAATAATGGTCTAACACAAGTAGACTGTTGTTTCGGCAAGCATTTAGTTAATAAATATGCTTATGGTATCATCACCACAAGATTGGTAATAAAACAATTTATTACTTGTAGACCTGACGTTCATTTTTCATTTTAAGCTCATTTTTTAAAATATTGTATACATAAATAAATAAAAACTATGTACAGTAGTGTCAGTATTGCGTACTTCATCTTTACCTATTTACATATGTACATATTTACATTTTTACAACTTAAATAAATGTATACATAAATAAATAAAATAAGGCCCACTGGGGGCATCGTTGGCTGCAATGGTGATGCTGGATTGACACAGCCCTATGTTCAAACCCAACATATAAATGGGCTTTTTATTCAGTATCATTGGCACCCCAGGCCCCAAGGTTGATAGTGTGAAAAAAAGGACGACAGTGAGAATTGACCCACAACCACTGGGTCTATGATCTGAGAGTTTAAGACGCTGACCACTCGGCTACTGCGGTCCCAATCAATGAACACAAGATATGCATATTCTATAAAGAACAGAACCAATGGTACATTTACAATGTGTAATTTGGTCATTAATGAATGATTTGGTACATCTTCACTGATTTGGTTGTCAAAAGTGTTTCGCCATTTCACCATCTTTAGGGATGGGTCAGGACAGATGATGCCAAAATACAAATGGCAGACCAAACAAAACGAGGATATACAGAAATTGATCTATAGCGACCAAATTACAGGTTCATCACTCGGCATTCCACACAGAGAAATCTCATATTTTCAATAAACTGAAGAGTTACTACTCTACAGGAGGAAAAGTTTTCGTGCTTGGGAAGCCAACAACAACCTTCGTCACTGAGGAAAGTAATAAATTCGTAAATCAATCAGCACTGATGTACCGTAAGAACGAAGGGTATAATTGTGGTGATTAGTGACCGTTAGTCTATGATTATTCAGAAATTGTGAGATGCAGTCTGGTGTGAAGTGGGTTTCGGAAAAACATTTTCTTTATCGTGCCAACATTTCAATCTTTATTGAGAACATCTTTAGAGCCTGGGATTTACAAACATTGTTTAAATTTAACAAATGCAATGTAGGATGTGGAAAAAAGTGCATTTATACAATGCAATTTTTTTTTTTTTAATCAAAGTATTTCTACTCACTCAAAGTGTTTCTGTGTAACACACTTTGAGTGAGTAGAAATACTTTGATTAAATATTAAAAAAATTTTTTTTTGCAATTACAAACAATCCCAGGCCCTGAAGATGATCTCAATAAAGATTGAAACATTAGCACGATAAAGAAAATGTTTTTCTCAAACCTACGTCACACCAGACCGCATCTCACGATTTCCGAATAATCATAGAAGAATATAATATTTTTTGAAGTGCAAGAATTTAATTCTTCATTCGACCAATAAGCTACATTTTTTCTGAATGAAGATAAAATCTTAATTTTTTGTTGTTGTTCTTTAAAACCAGTACAAGCATGGATAATGCTAACTTTACTGACAATATCCTTATTTATACAGGTGTATTTAGAAAAATTGTTTGATTTGTACAGTCCCAATGTGAATAATGAATCGAAATTCCCTTTCAAGTAAACAAGTGTTGGTATTTAGTATACGTTGTTCTCAATGTCACATACGTTCAGACGTTTGATAGTAAGTATATGTGTAGTAAAATTAAGCAAATGTTTCTTGAGTTTCTTGTCAGGAACTAGACAACCATTAAACCAATTTTTTTTTTTTTAATTAGATGGTTGTCTTGTTGAAAAGAAACCCAAGAAGTACAAAAAGTCCGAAAAAAAAGAGTACAAAATTTATAATGTAATTAAGAAAACGTTGAGATTAAGTTCAAAAGAATGTTTACGATGCTAAATCTTGATTAACAGTGTTAATAATTTTATTATTTATACATTTGAACCATAGAGTTGTAAATATGCAAAGATACAGAATATTATTTGACTGACTTTACCCACCATTGTTTTAAGTTGAACTGACTGGCCCAAGAAAACAAACCAGATATAAATGTTGTTATGTTGACAATTGGCAACATAAAATTTGTAATCGGTATCAGTTCTAGAGCGCGGTGTACGGCAAAGATGACGCTTATTCTTAATCTGTCAAAAATTCAAGTACAAAATAAATAAACAATTCAAACAAGGTGTTGTTTAAGTAACGGTGTCTACAAATCGTTTGACAGACCCCTCCCCCCATTAATCAATAGCATTTTATTTAATAATAAAAACTTATTTTACTTTTTTGTACATAAATTGAATACATAATTCCTATACGGATATGTTTTAATTAAAGAGAAATCGTTCAAAGAAAATGATAAAATTGCATGGTAAATGGTTATGTTGGTGAAACAACTCTGAACTCGTGTATGAAGGATGTTGTGTGTGAAGCCAGTTGTTATGTAAAGTTTAGAGTAGTACCACGCATTTTCGTATATTATAAGAACCAGTGGATATATAATTCTGTAAATATATTCTTTGTTTTAAAAAGCGACAACCCGTTTTGCTCGTTAATCGCCCAGTAGTTGTAATCAGTCAGTATTTTAGCTTACTGGATAAAAGAACCCGACTGTAAGAACAATACCTCAATTTGTTGTAAACAGCGATAAATGAAAGGAGATAAATCTTAATCTACCGTCCGTTATATCGTTCAAAAGTGAAAGCTATGCTTTTTAACATCACACGGAACTTGCCCGCTTTCACTTCATATGTCAAGCCCTGACAGTTATTTCTCGTCCCCTTATTGCAGATTCGATTATGAGTTTAAAAGGCGACAACAGCGTTAGTCGCGATGTGGACAAATCCGAGAAGACACACAAGATGACATACATCATATTCGTCTCGTTACTCCTGGATTTGTTAGCTTTTACAATGATTCTGCCACTGTTTCCTTCCCTCATGGATCATTATAGGAGACACGATGATCCAAATGGTCTGTATGCCTACATGTCAGAGAGCATCAAACACTTCCAACAGCTTGTCGGTGCACCCATAAAATTCAACTCTGTCTTGTTTGGAGGTATTAATAAGAAGTTATTAATATTGTGCTAAGTGTGCATGATCGTATTTCATCCGCAGGACTCCTCGGTTCCATGTTCTCTTTTCTTCAGTATACAGTTTCGCCAATTGTTGGAGGACTTTCAGATGCATATGGAAGGAAACCTGTGCTTCTTATTACTTTGGTAATGTTGTTACTCCATTTTTATTAATAGTAGATAGTAAATAATCCATTTAAGGATTGCTAAAAACTGTTTACTCTTGCCATTTGGCAGAAAAGATGGTTGACTTTTTGTAAATGATGGTTCTACTCACAGATTTGTTGTTTTCAACGATCCAGATTTCAAGCATTAAATGTACATCATCAGCTTGAAGGATTTACAAACACGTATGAATTGAATTGTTAAATTTGATGTTAAATCATGAATTGTAAAAATGATGTTAGAGAGTTAAGAGAGGAATTTATACAATTCATGTCGAGAGACATGTTTGTAACTCTTTCAACCTGATGATGAGTGTTTAATGCTTGAAATCCAGATCGTTGAAAACCATAAATCTGTTAGTACAATTATCATTACAAAAACTGAGTACAAATACTTTGAGTCTAAAATTTGTATCATTGTTTAAAATCATTTTTTCACATCTTACAACTATTTGTATTACTAAGTGGGTTTCAGAAAAACATTTTCTTTATCATGCCAACGTTTCGATCTTTATTGAGAACATTTTTAGAGCCTGGGATTTACAAACATTGTTTAAATTTAACAAATGCGTGTAGGATGTGGAAAATAGTGAATTTATACAATGCAATTTTTTATTTATTTTTATTCAATCAAAGTATTTCTACTCACTCAAAGTGTTTCTGTGTATCACACTTTGAGTGAATAGAAATACTTTGATTAAATATAAAAAAAATTTTTTTTTGCAATTACAAACAATGTTTGTAAATCACAGGCCCTGAAGATGATCTCATTAAAGATCGAAACGTTGACACGATAAAGAAAATGTTTTTCTAAACCTACATCACACCAGACCGCATCTCACGATCTCCAAATCATTTATTAATGGTCACTAAACACCACACATTACAAAAAGTGAATGTACATACTCACCACATCTTCACAATTTCTAATAGAAGATGGTTGTACTCATCAAAATTCAACAACTTGAAAATTATAACAATGCTCTTTCTCAAGCATTGGTAATTAATGACCACCTGAATTCACCTGAAAACAAAATCATTTAATTTAAACAAAATTAAACTTAACGATTTTATGATGGCCAAGGTCAGAAATTTCTCAATATTGAAAAGTGTATTAACTTTCAATTGTACAAACACATACATATTACACTACTTTTACAATCTTTTTATGGAAAATTCTTGTGTGAGTGAATGCATTTATAAGATTTAACTATACATTAGTAATTTATTAATAGTAATATGTGAGGTGATGCATCTGTAACTTTGAAATGCGACTGATTGAGAGGGCAAATGAGAAAAGGCAGACTAGGATGAATAGAAATCATCAAGAGTGACAGTGGAAAATTGATTCCATTTTCCTACTCGAGTAGATTGTATGCATTTAGAAATGAAAATATTTAAGAACAAGTGTAAATATATTTTTTAATTTTCAATCTTCACTTGTGCTCTAGAAACGTGCTGGAAGACCAAGCTATTCTGAACAAATTAGAGAAGTCTCCCATTAACATCGGAATAGTCGATTCTCATTTCTCAGTGTGAAAAGCCCAATTTGATAATGGCAAACTGCTAATTTGAAGTTCAATTTTGATAATTATTATTTAATAAATTATGGTAATCAAAGAGGAAAGAAAATAATCCTGGTGAATAAGGCCAGCTTATACTTAAATATTTTTTCAAGACTTATTTTAAATACTTTTTTAATTTGTTTTATTTTATAATTTAAATATTTAACAGTAGAACATATAAGCAAACTGTGCGGTAGCTGTGTGGTTCTGGGCTTCAGATATGCAGCAGTCATGGTCTCAATTTCCAGCAATGGTATTCTTGGGATCTCCATGATAATTTGAATAGTAAAATAAATTCAAAAAGTTGCCTTCTTGTCCACAAAAGGAGTGGTTGTATTAGTTGGATGTAAATGTTTAAATATTAAATAGAATATTAGTTACTTGAATAGTAGCACATAAGGTATAAATTAGTTATTTGTATAGAAATGTTATCCAAATATGTTCTATAATTAATTTTAAATGTTTGTGTTGAAATGTTTCAGAGTGGAATAGCATTATCTTACTTATTATGGGCCCTTTCTCACAATTTCACAATATTTGTGCTAGCAAGGGTGTTAGGTGGTTTGAGCAAAGGAAACATTAGCCTTTCTATGGCTGCTGTTGCTGATGTGTCAACACCAGCTACAAGAGCATCAGGAATGGTGTGAAAGATTAATATAATTAATTAAATTAATGGTTTTGACTTAACCACATGATTAATGTTTTCAGGCACTCGTTGGCATTGCATTTTCTATAGGTTTTGTCGTAGGCCCCATGATAGGGGCTGGTTTTGCTAAGTGGGCCTCATCTCAGATATATTCTCAAACTTGGTTCATCATACCGGCTCTCTCAGCATTAACTCTGGCGACTCTCGACATTTTATTCGTCTTCTTATTTTTTAAAGAGACTCTTCCTAAAGAGAAAAGAGCCAAATCGGTAGTTCAAAGTCTGAGCCAGGCGGCATCTTACATAAATATGTTTTCTTTGTTTAACTTTTTACCTGTATCAGGCTTAACAGAGCAAAGTATGTTCAACCATCTCAATACTTATAAACATTAATCATAATTATGTACTATTATTGTTTTTGTTTACAGAGAGAAAAGAACTGAGGAATTTAGGGCTAATATATTTTGTATATCTTTTTATTTATTCTGGACTTGAGTTTACATTGACTTTTCTAACTCACATTCATTTTAATTTCACTCCGATGAAACAAGGTATGATGTTTTTTTGCATCGGATTGACAATGGCTATTTTACAAGGTGGATGGGTCAGGAGGATCAAACAGGAAAATGTAAAGAGTACTGCGACAGTAGTAAGTCATTTAAAGAACTAACTTTTCATACTGTACAATTTATATTCTTAGGTTTTCTTATTATAGGGCCTTATGATAATTGTCCCATCTTACATTTTTGTCGGCCTGGCCACATCGGAAATTATCTTGTACATCGGAGTATTCCTATTTGCCGTGTGTAAGTAGTATAATCGTACAATTAAAATTCATGTTTTTATAAAATTATATTTGAACAGCAACATCCGTTGTGGTTCCTTGCATGACCACTCTCGCTTCACAGTACGGTGAAGACAAACAAAATGGTACTGTCATAGGAGTTTTTAGATCTTTGGGAGCATTGGCCAGGGCTCTTGGACCAATCATCGCTTCTGTTGGTAAATATTTACAATTTGATTTTTTTTTTTAAATATTTAACTAAATTAATCTCATTTCCAGCATACTGGAGTCTCGGCCCTAGGACAACGTATTTAATTGGATCAGTCGGGCTTCTATGGCCTTGTATATCTCTGAAAAGATCAAGAATTAAACAGGATTAAATCATTAATCAATCAACATTTATTTAAATCTCTTTGTAAATATTTATATATATATATATATCACAAATTCAATTAATTTTCCGTAATGAATTTAAGTAAAAAATATTAAAAATATATATTTTGAAATAATAATTTGTACCAATAAATACAAAACAAATGTTTCTTTTTTAAAAAATATGAATTAAAAGGCATCTAATTTTATGTCAATGAAAAAAGACATTGTGATAACAAGCTGAAACAAATTGTTAATGTTACTTCCTATTTATAAAACAGATCTGTAATACTTTATTTTACGTATTGTTTTTATAAAAGCAATTCTTGCCTAATGATAGTTGAATCATTTCTTGTGATTATAATAAACTTTTTTTATATATTAAAATTTTCTTGAAAAAGAACAATTAAATTATTTTGAATCCCTTAAAGAAGCACATATTAATAAAAATCAATATAATTTTATAAGTTAGTACAAATTTAAATAAAATATATTTCATAATTTTAGAAGGAATAAAAGTTTGAACAATATCACAGATATTCAGATGAAACTATGAAACAAGAATTTTGCAAAGTTGGAATTCAAGTTCTAAAGCATTTCAAAAATCTCATCTGCTATAAAGCTCTAGTTTACCAATTTTTGGCCATTACAATAATATATCAATCTTTTGTTGCAACTAGCAATAAAATAATTAACTTGTTTTAAATCATTAAAAAAATCAACCTCTCAAATAGTAACACCCATAATTATATTACATACAATTATTACAGTATACAATTTTTAACAACATAAAAACATTCGCATACAGTTGACTTTTGACAATCGAAAAAAAAAAAATAAATAAATAAACAAATTGAATTATCAAGCGGGAAGAAAAAAACAACAAATTTTATAAAACAGAAAAAATATCACTTTTGCAACTCAACCAAGACTTTAGATAAAAAGTATAATTAATTGAAATAATTAAATATGGCTATTATGACCGCTAAACATATATGGATTAATAGAAAAATAATGAAACAGTGAAAATAGACCAATTATGCATTAAAAAATAAAATAAATCATGAAGTGGTTGTTTGTGTGGCCTGGCATCCTTTATCTAAATAATTTTCCTTAGTTGTCCAGTGCTGAGAACACACTGACCGCTGACTCTAAATTATACGAAATTCGAAGACACTTTAGGGTACAAGTTAATTTAGAAGTATAATACAAGGAAAAAGTTCAAATTAAAAGGAGAAGTGACTCCATTTCAATTTATAGAATGCTCTTTCTCCACATGTTATGAAAAATATTTCATATTACCAAGTGTTTCAAAATATACACAATTTTTTCGAATTAACTAGAGCCAACTGTATTAAGCTATTTATGGTATTTCTAGACGGATTCCTGATTTAATTATGTACTTTAGTACTAGTAGATGAGATTGTTTGGGCATACAATTGTACTTGTTGGATATAAAATAATAATAAATAAATTTAAACTAAATATTATAAATCTCATCCACGGTGAATTGGACCTTTTCTGTTTATTACGAAGGATCCATAATAATATAATTATGTAATTTGATGGCATACACGATGCATGTTTTAGTTCTAGATGGATACAAGAAAAGCGTTAAAAAATTGTGAAGGCACAGTATATAAAATTTTAATCAGCTCAGATCATCATAATCTGATTAAGAATAAAGGACCAAGTGGGATGAATGGTTAAGGTGTCTGATTTGTATTTGCCCTGCAAGCAGTTCAAGATTGGAAACCCGTTGTTAGCTCATGAAATTAATTGTAAATAATATTGGATCAAGTATTGATAAGTAGTTTGACACCTAATGGGTAGTTGGATATTAAGCCCTCCTGTATGACAGGAATTTATTTTACCGTTTAAGAATATATACATACTCAAACAAAACAGACACCAAACAACTTGATTGTAATAATAATAATTGTAAATAATTATTTTACTTTCTAGCTGCAACATTAGGCAAACTTATTATTAATAAAGCTTTTGTTATTTATTATTAATAATTAGTATTAAGTAATCTTAAATTCATTTAACTGGATCTAAAATTTACTTTTTACATATTTTATTTCTAGTAGTAAGAATCTAGAATGCAAATTATGCCCTCAGAATCTTTAAGGACAAATTTTACAAATCATTAATTGATCAACAAAGATTTAAACGGCAAGGTTTTGCTAATTTGACCTTCAAGTTGACATCAACCCTAGAAAATTGGAGAATTCAGCAAGAAATGATAGTTTATCATGGTGTGACTCCAAAATGAAACAAAGCCATTTGTTTTGGGACAGGTCATTCTGCATTGTGCTTTTAAATTGTTATTAATACAAAATATAGTAAATTGTAAGCATTAGTCTACGAATTCTCGCCCATCTTCTACTTAGCTTGAATCTGTCTGCAGTGAAAATTATTTGTTCTTGTAAGATTAGTTGTAAGTACATAAGAAAATTGTTTGAAATATAAGTGAAAAAATGCATACTTGTTGCATTAATGTTATGTTATGCGATGGAAAAATAAAACGTAATGCACATCTACAGTCTTAGAAGATACACTCACAAGCATCAAAGGCAAAAGTGGTTTATCACATTTTATGAAGAGTCGTCTGAATTAAAACTTGAAACCATGTTGACAATAGTAAAAACAAAGCATAACACCAAAGGACCAGCGATTGCTCCTTCCATCCCAAGCCAAAACATGCCCCCAGCGATGCTCAAACCAGTCAAATAAGGATGTCCTCCTCTAAAAAACAAAATTACAATATGAAATGTGAACATTGTATGAATTGTAATGCACTAGGTTGAGCCAAAAGTTCACCAACAAAAATTCTTTCACATATTTCAAAGACTAGCACCTCTTTGCTTACAATGTAAGTAAAAAAAGTTTTGAAGAAAAGGCGCACACTTTTGACTCACCCAAATATAATAGTCTACCATTTATTACCCTTTAATCTCATTGTAAACTGTCGTTTCAACAATAGCTGTAGGAAATATTTGGGCTAAGAACAAGCCCAAAGCCCTTATCTTACTGTCTTGAAGGAGCCATAAATCAAGAATAGCGGGTACGCAGGCCCAATACGTTCCAAGCACAGGCACAACACCCAATATGGCAGCGAATGCTGAAATTATTTCAAATATATAATAAGACATAATTTAAAAATGATCAAATTTACCAGCAGGCATGTAGACCAGGTTGCTCATGAAGAAAGTGTGTATCAACCAAGTCCAAAGGCCATAAAACATTGAAAGTTTTATGGATGCAGCCAAAACCTCTCTACAAGACTGTTGTACAGCTAAAGCCAGTCTGAAATATTTTTATATAAGTTTAATTTGAAGGTATTCCACTTGAGAAATAAATCATATAAATAAGCCTACTTTTTTCCATATTTAGGGCTCATTTGAGTCATCATTTCAACAGGCTTGTACATTTCACGACTTGTACTCAAAAGATAAAATAGGGCTGTCAAGAAAACAACCTTGAAAACATAAATATGGCAGGTAAAGATATAGAAGAAGCATAATTTGTCATTACAGATAATGCTGACACTAAAAGTTAACAAGTATTTTAGTATAGCTATGGGGTGTATGCATAAGTTTCTGCTTTTCAGAGAAAAAGTAAAACCCTCAAAATATAATGTTTTATTTTTAATCCAAAACATAATTTCCTTAGATGTCTAACATACTGCCTACAGTAGCAGAAATTTATCTTGTATGATGACAAAATAAAAGAAATCCATAATCCAATTTTCTGAATGTTTTCATTCAAAAATTCCCTTCCTTTTAAATGGGGTTGTCTAGGGTGAGGCATTGCCTAATTCAGCGATTTTATTCTGTGTGAGACCTGGCATTGCTATGGTGAAACAGGATGTTGCGTCTATTCACCAGGGCTAGAGAGTTTATGTGCACTTGGTTATTGGGGATGGGGTCATAAAATATTTTTAATTTTAAATCTTCGCCTAGCTTTCGCTTTCAGAATTTTATTTTCTCTTCTTCAGGGCTCAGTACAAAACGATATATTATATATTTTTAATTTTGGTCAATTTAACATCACATCAATATATGTAAGAACATGACACACATTTTTGTACTTACTGATTTTTAGTCAGAAGTAAATAAACTTGAATTATTTTATTTTCATGCTAACAGCTAACACTGGGGGGGGACACCTAACTTTCAGTGTTAGCATGAAAAAACAATTCAAGTTTATTTACTTCTGATTAAAAATCAGTAAGTACAAAAATGTATGTCATGTTCTTTCATATATGTTAAATTGGCCAAAATTAAAAATGTATAATATATGCTTTTGTAGAGCCCTGAAGAAGGTACAATAAAGTTCCGAAAGCTAGGCGAAGATTTAAAATTAAAAATATTTTATTTGACCACACCCCTGATAACTAAGTGAACATTATAGACAGTTTACTTTCAACAATCCCTCAGATGTTCTAGCTAAGAAGAAACATTTTTGTAAAGGATCCACTTCTCATCCCTAGCGAACAAATAGAAAATAAACTCTTCCAATTTATTCCTATTTAGATGTAAAACACAACAGCCATGTGGTCTTTTTTTGTTCCTGAGGGGCAATTCGTGGTGAACCCATGAATTGAGTTTCACAATGTAATCCAGAAATCAGAATCTTCTTTCTATTTTTGTGTTACAGATCATTTGTCCTCATCCTCCAGTGCCACTAATAAGTTGTCATTTTTAAGCTTGTTAGGTGTTCAAAAACCAAGCTGGTCTTTGATCTGTCTCTTTCCATTAGAAAACCATCGGAACTACTGTTGACTCACTTTCAGTTACTCATTATAACCATAAATTCCAACAGGCATCTGCCTCTCTATGCCAGAGATCTAACTCATATAGGAAGCAGTGCCTCAAATGAATTTTGTCATAGTTTATTCCAGACAGACTTTGGGATCAATTACCCATTTCTTAACAAATTCTTTCAACAGGGTTTTTCCCATCCTAGAGCTAGAAGGTAATAATGCATCACATTATATGGATGAAAGTCGAAATTAAAAAAAAAAAAAACCCCACAACCAATATTTATTTTTTATTATTCTAAAAATAATTTTAAATTCCATAAAAATCATGAAATTAATTTGAATTTACCTTATAGATTACTATGAATTTACCTTTTATATATTTTATAAATATTTTAATCTCTAAGAGGCTTGTATGTGAAAATCACTTTACCGTGTGAAATGTGAAATTGATGACTGACATCCCACCGCCGAAAACAAGTGAAAACACCGTTGTAAGTATTCCAATAAGAAGTGACAAATTTCCTTTGAGAATAACCCAAAGTGAATCAAAGCCTGCATTTAACATTGACATATTCTCTTGTACGAATTCTCTCAACGAATCCCAACTTACAACTTCTAGAAATTTATAACAATGTAATTGATATAAATGGGAGATGATTAGCGTAAAATTCATACCAGGAGTTTTTTTAAGCCTTTCAATGAAATTGGTGTATGAATTAAAAACTGTATCTGCAGTAGTCGATCTGCCGACATTTGTCTCCATTGGTTTAACCCAAGATTCATAAGCTATGTCCCACAAATCCAGTGCTCCCTTTTCCAATTCGGAAATTTTAAACTCGTCAATCCCCTTGCCTTTCAAGAGATTTCTTATCTGAAAATAACAATCAATATTTAGCTAATCCCAAAAAATAATAATAATAGTACTTACAAATTGAGCGATTCCATCTCTTGTATAAATATAAACGTTCTCAAGTGCTGTGTTTTTTGTAGTCTGCCAGTCTTTTGGCAAAATCTGGATCAGTTCAGGATTGTTTACAATTGTTGAATTTATAATTCTACCTCCTGCTTGAACTAGGTACACTCCTTCTCGATAAGCCTATGTTTTAGTTAATAGGAAATCATTCAATATACAAAGGATGAAATATAGGACTTAGAGGTACCTGGACAGTAAAAAATATTGAAAAAAACAGGCCAAAAAGCAAAAGACCTAAAATGACAGCAACCGCAGCTACAGAATCACAACAGTTCTTCAAGATATCCAACAATCTCATTTTTTTAGCTGTTAATAACTAGAAAGAAAAAAATATAAGTAATTATGGTTATAATGATAATGAGTTAGTCTTCAATTTTAAAATCAACAATGATAGGCAATACCCTGGTCATAGGATGGTCAAAAGATTGAATTGCAAAATGTATACAACAATTTAATAAAGAATTGATATTAAAAATTAAACTGTTTCTAATGAAATTGGGTACTGAAATGACCTAGCTGTTGACAGCACTCAGAGCCCAACCTCGGTGGCTGGAAGGATAAGACTGAGGTCTGACTCCGGACTGCAAACACCAGGGTAGTGAAAAAAAGAATGTAATTTTGTTAAAAATTTGTAGTCATTTATGTAAATAATGTTAATATGTTTTATACGTTCAATTTATTTTATTAAAGCAAATGTATATTTATTATAATATACCACAATGTATAATTATTATAAACATTCATATATTTGTAACTGACTTAACAAATGAACCCAATAAATAGTATTATTTAATGAAAATTTATAATGATGAATAACTTTTGTTTAAATTTTATTAATACTGAAATCTTTGATGAGTTACAAAATGCCCTTGTCCACTATGACCTAACAGATATTTACCTTGATCAATTCTGACCATCCTGATGCTCACACAATTGACAAAATATCATACAAGCTGACCTTTGAGGCAGGTGAAATGCTGAAATATGTCTACGGATAAAACAAACAAGAATAGGCAGATCAGGATAATCAGAGATGATAAAATCCTTCCCCAATAAGTTTATTTCAACAGAGTGAATCTAATAAAAAAAATTGTTATAATTTAATTATTAATACTGTTAAGGATGCTTGAAGAGGAGGTGGCAAAAGGATATCTTTCCTGCTGTCATACCACGATCCTACACTTTCCACTAATGACGAAACATAACTATTAAATGTATCAGTTATGCCAAAATAGAAACCTGAAAAATAGAGTAATACAACTGTGTAAAAGACAAACAAACAAGATATTTAAAATTAAAATTAAACAGTACAAAATTTGTGAGAACGTTTTCCAAAGAAGTGGAAACATACATGTTTTTTTAATTCCATATATTAATAGCAAAAATACTAATATGTAAGGTACTGTAGACAGGCTGAATGTCAGTACTCCTGCACAGATCATCATGAGCCAACGGATGTATAGAAAACTACAAACAAGTTTACAGAAGTGAAGGAAATTAAAATTAAATAATTTGTGATGAAGAAATTTTGTCATCTTACCTCGTTTGCCCTTCTTCTTTTTCTTCTTTCAAAAAGGTTTCCGATTCTGGGGGGTTCTGACAGAAAACAAAAACAATTACTCATAAATAAATTGTAAAATTATGAGCTTCTATAAGGTAGTATAAATAAAAATGTTTCAGAGATTATGGTATGAACTTTTGATTACCTCTTTTTGTTCCGTTTGCGAAAGATCAATGGATGTCGGTGCTAAAAATTATTTTAATATTATTAACATAAGAAAATAGATATGGCTGTAAATGACCACTTACACGTAGACATTAAAGAATACAAGTATATACCACAAATTGCAAATTGTAGTAATACAAATATAGGAATTCGTAAGTAGAAAATGCAATTTGAAAGCCACGAAGTTATTACAACCCACACAAAGATTGACGAGAGGGTAAAAAATCTGTTGTAGTTTGGCTTCCAGAGAAAAATAAGAGCACAGAAAAAACTTAAGACGACTGTGCCAGACTGAAAAAATATATCGTTTATTTAAACAAATTTTAAAATTCTTTCGACAGTGATAAAGGTTTCATTTACTCTTGCCCACTTACAATCAACGTGCTTCTGAATGTGTCAAGAATTGTGTTGATAAGCATCTTATTGACAACCATAGAAAAGTAGCACAAATTCCAAATGAAATTCGGAGTGTAGAAGTAAAATCCAGACATGGTGGACAGAACAAGTAAAAACGTTATAATGATTTTCATTCGGTCGACAAGAAAATCTCCTATAGAGTCAGACCACCTGGATGTCAAATCAAATGGTATAAGGAGCAGATTTACATAAACAGGTCTCGATGACGACTCGAGATTGTCAATCTCTCTACGACATTTGTTCGCAATGATCTCTTTGAACGGGTGCAGGGCAGAGCCGCAAAGCAGAGCCCACGCCAACGGCTTGATAAAAGGCTGAAGTATAAAATAAACACCGGAGAGAGTGATTACAGAAATAAGGACGACGATCATGGCCAAGGCGTTGAACATAGCCAGTTTAAAAGCTTTATCGTTCGATTCACCATCGTTGGAAAACGTGTTAAAAATTTCCCCCATGGAAAATACGCTCTTTTTCTTCCGTGGTTCCATCTCGAGATCGGAATTATGGAAACTGGTCAAACGACTATCTGAAATTTTTCATTTGGAATAGCAACAATGCATCAGTGATTGACTACTGACAAGCATTGCCTTGAGAAGGTAACTCGCCTGTTGCAAATGTCAAATCGCTTCTCTTCGTAATCCAAAAACCTTATTTTCAAGTCTGTGCTGTTTTACAACTAAAAACTCAATTTTTATTTTAAAAAGTACTTTTTCGCAACGATCAACTTCGTAATTTGGAAATATCAGTCTAAAAAACTGATTGCTTAATATTGTTCCATTTCGAAATATTTTTGGAGGGAGGGGAAAGAATGAAATGTTAACACAGACTTACACTCTTAATTTTAGCATAATACTACAATCATTCAACTGTAAGTAGTTTTTTACTGGTTCTTTTCAGTAATAAAAAGGTCAAAAATTTATTGTTTATATTTTATTAAATCAATATTGGCAAGTCAAATGTTGTCTTTTATATGGTTTTAACTAACATTTAAATCATAAATATATTTGAAACAAAAACAAAATATATTTTCGAGATGGGTTAAATTATGTGCTTTACGTTAATGATGTAACTTTGAATATATGACAATTTAGTACATATTCCTTATCACTTGATATAGAAATCGATTAACAAGAAAATTTATGGAAACGTTATAATTTTAAAGATATTTTTGAAGGTTTTGCGATTTATGAATGTTGAACACCAGACAAGACATGATAATTTCTCTATAATAAAGATTTGACTTATATGAAAGGATATCCTGGCATATTAAAAGTAAAAACTTAAACAAATATTCGAGTTATCGATTTGACATATCGAGTTGAGATACTTTCACAACAGCAAATCTTGGTCTCGTTATTTGAGGTTGTTCGGCTATTTCCTCAGGGGTACAGCTTTTTATTTTTATCGAATTTCAATAAATTTTTATCAATTTAACAGATAAATATGTAGTTGTTGCTAAGTCGAATGTGTCCCGGAGGGCTGGACCGATGAGTTTGTGTGAGTTTGCATGCGGAAAAACCTAGGTTTAGCGTTGAAATCGAAGAGGTTGTGCGGACATGGCAGATTTGACTCTAAAAGAATTAATTTTACAAATCGAATTGAAATTGGCAACCGATTTAGTCAAATTGGACTTCGGGCCCAAAGTGGAGTACGTTTACAATCCTTTAGAGTACGCCGTGGACGTGCATTCACGTTACCTAGATCTGGCGTGTTCAGGCAGGAAAAAAGCCCTCTTTCTAGGGATGAACCCTGGACCATGGGGAATGATGCAAAACGGGGTAATTCGTACTATAAATTGTTTAAAATACAATAAGACCACTTCAGGATGAACGGTTCCTCATTTAAGAACGGGTGGACTTTGTTTCTTTAGTTTCTTCACATCCGTTTTTAATGGGTAACATTGTGAGAGTGAGGTACGCGAGGCAGTCAACCTGTACCACTGTCATCAATCATCCTAGTCTGCCTACGCTGGTTTTGTCTATCAGACATCTTTCCACATTTTTCTTTGATAAGTACATATCATCAGCGAATGTCAAGCTAAATACAATTCTCCGTAAACATCACCTTGAACAACTTAACATATAAAAAAAAAAATTCCTCCAACCCACTGTCCATGATAAATGAAATCATTATCCTACAATATACGATTTTGGTCAAGATTGACTAACACAAGTATCATATGTAGAAACTTAGCTAAAATTCTTGAAAGAAATATATATTGATTCAGATTAGTATTGCTTAAATACTTGGACAATTTGTTCAAACTAATTAACAAAAAATATGTTTGCAATATATTGTATACTTACTTTCCTTTGAATTTTAATCACAGAATTCAATGATTCACCAATAACTGCAACCTTGGGGCAAAACTGGACAAGTCAAATTTTAGCTAAATGAGGTTATGCGGAACCGGTATTGGGTCACTTATGGGTCTTCACTGATGGGCTTGTTGAAGTAGTAAAATGAGTTTCGGCATTAAGCCATCTTCAGTGAGGAATTGTCCAATAAGCCTGCGAGTGAAGATTAACTCAATATCTGTCCAGCATGAATTCACTAACTGCAGATACACAACTAGCACCAACTCTATTTGCGTATTTCACTAAATCTTTAGACCTGACACTGCAAATAAGTTATGAAGAAATTTTCTTTTTAACGTATTGGTGCCTTTTTAGACATTGATAGTTCTACTTGTCTATTTGTAAACTGACATTTCACATATCTTTTTACTAGGACAACTATGTTGAAGGGGGGGGGGCACAATGGTTAAGGCATCGACACAATAAGGTAAAGGTCTCTGGTTCAAAATTCATTGGCCCTGCATTTGAACCCGACATACAAATGGGCTTTTTTTCAAAAACACTGATACTCTGAGTGAGCATAGTAAACAAAAGCTATTAAAAAAATTGAATTTGTACCCAAAGACTGCTTTAAAATAATCTTGAAAAGTTGTGTTTTTTACTTATCCAGTTTACCCCAAGGGTTCAAAATCAAGACGTGTGCACCAGTGAATAGTTTTGATTATTCTTTTCTGCCTATTATCACTGCTTGTGGCAGATCAAATCCACAGGAATAGGCAAAATAATTGGAAATGATCAAACTGAAAAATTTATGATTTGTTATGAATTAAGAACTATAGCCTTGTTAATTAAAATTGATTTTTTATTTCCTTCCAATCTTTTGTCAAAGATTTTTTAATACATTCTTTATTAATTTAAGATAATGAGAATGAATTTAACATTCTTCATACAATTATTTTAAATTAGGATTAACATGCTCAGTGCAGGAAACCTGCCAGATGCATGCAGGCCTTAATATGTAATGTTTCTATGAATAGGAAGTTTTTGCCATCCGGGAAGGGGGAAAATTGAATTATTGGGTCGTATTGAACATGTTAACGTTATAGTTAATAGTCAAACAATTTTTTTGAACATTCATAGACACAATTTATACCTCAAGACATACATGTACATATGGCTTGCAGATATTAGTATGTACGACCTATTTATTTGCAAAATGATACATATGCAATGTGATGATAGTACTTATTTAAGTTTAAAATAAATTAATGATTTAATAAGTTGGTATAAATCAAGAAGTGGTGGTCTTTTTATTTAATTTCCTTTTTTCTTTTGTTAAGAGAAATATGTATCAATAAATGATTGTTTAAAACCATGTTGCTAAAATAGAATTTAATAAGCCACATTAAAATAAAAGGACTTAATAAGATACATTTATTTCCTATTCAGATTATGAGTAAATAGTTGAACAATTGGTTTAATGTAAATTATGAATCGAGACATTTCATATATAACATGGTTAGATGGACTTTTTTATATTCACACTTCAATTAATAAATACTTAATTACCAGACATTTATGATTTACTTTATTACATTATTGCAATAACTGTTTATTTTAAAAAAAGTTGTTTATTCATGTTGATAAAAATATGGTACAAATCTAGGTTTGTATCCATTTGGAGAATCGACTTCAGTCAAGGAGTTTCTTAAACTAACAGGCGTTATTCATCGTCCTGACAATGAACATCCTCAGCGTCCTGTTCTAGGTCTTGACTGCAAAAGACGTGAAGTTAGTGGAAAACGATTTTGGTCACTTGTAGAATTGCTTGGAGACGGCTCTCCCCACGACTTCTTTAGAAACTGTACCGTGCACAATTATTTTCCATTATGCCTCCTTAGTGGTAAGGGGAAAAATGTTACACCCCCTGAGCTGAAGGTCAGCTTTTGTTCAACGCACTTTTAAGTTTTTTCAAGTTCGGATTTTCATGAAATGATTTTGTAGACTGCTGTGCAGAAGGAAATTAATGAAATGTGCGATCAGTCTCTTGTAAATGTAATAAGTTTGCTGGATATTGAAATTGTCATTGCGGTCGGACGATTTGCCGAGAAAAGAGCTCAGATCATTAAAGAGAGATTCCAGCTTCCAATTAGGGTAAACACAAATATATGCTAGATTGTTTATACTTACGTTACAAAAAATATATGTATGTTACAGGTATGCTACATCTCTCATCCTAGTCCAAGAAATCCAGAAAGCAACAAAAACTGGCTTTTGTCTACTAAAGATCTCTTATTAAACAAATATGGTCTACTGAAACTATTCTCCCCTTAGCAAATCATGTCTTCTGTAAGTACATATTATTTAATTTGTTTGTTTAAAAATCAGTTTAGTTTAAAACTGATCATCATCATTAATCCGTTTTGACTAAAAATAAATTAATTTGCTTGATTCTTAAATTAAAGCGATCTATCTGAATTATTGTTTGCTCAAAGTTCAACTAGGTTCGTTAAACACATCTAATTGAAAGAGGTTAAAGGCGAAATTATTAATTTATATCATCGATTTGACTGTGCATTAATATTTTCTTTTGTCAGATCATTTTCAATGGATTTGGAACATGATTTAACATTTGAACATCATAAATGTGAAGAATATGCATACTAGGATGGATCAGATTGAATAAAACTGTTGGTTTTTTCAACAAAAAAAGAAACTCCAATAAATGTTTGTAAACAATAGAAAAGACCCTCGACTATCATATAAACCTAATTATTAATCAGCAATGTCTTTTTTTACAAAGATGATCTGACTGGGTTTACAGGAACAGAAAACGCCCAAAACCTTGTTACAATAGAAATTTATTACCAGTCAACCTAATGAACATTATGTTAAACAATTTGCTTTTTGACAGGGGAATTCAATAAATTACTTTCTAGAATTTCTCTTAGATTCCGAGAGGGTTGCTTGCTGAGTGCCTTAGATAATTTGTTACATTGCGACCTAAATTATTCCTTACCAATTTTCAACTCGAGTACTGCCTAAACTGTGTAAATTGGGTTTTTGGACTTGCGTTGGCTCTTGAAATTGGGATGTTGTGCCCTCTTCCTGAATTTGGTTCCTTTGGGCGGTAGGGAGGATGGCCGATGTTCTCTCTGCAACTCAGGTTGCTAGGATCATGTTTTTTTTTTTTTTTTTTTTTTTTTTTTTTTTTTTTTTTTTTTTTTTTTTTTTGGTCAATGTTCAATCTTGTGGGCGATTAACCAGCTACATCTTGGAAAATGTGTTTTGACATTGGTCGAGCTTAAAGAGTTTTTAAATGGTACAAATATAAAAAATAGTTTATTTTGCTCACAGTGCTTGGAGATGAAGGTGCCAATTTTTATAAAATTGAAACTATTTCTGGCGGAAGTTCTAAATTGTTTATTCTGTTATATTTAAAAAAAAAAGTTTTCTTTTCCTTCCTCTTTCTTTGTCTGTTATTTATGTCATATTTTATGTTTATATTTCTGTTTTTTTCAGTTAACATGTTAAACTAAAAAGTCTTTGTTTATCAAGTTTCCCCTCGTTTTTCCCTTAATTTAACCATCACTTCAATTTATTATTTATTTTAATATTTTATTTATTTTTTAATTAATTTTAGTTTATAACGCATAGAAAAATTATGGCATTTTTCAGCAGACAGTTTTCAACCATGCTGTTGCAATGTGTGCTATATTTTACTAACTAAATATTGTAAAAAGAAAAAATATAACATGTTTATCTATCTATGAACTGGTCACCCTAAGATTTGAACGATCAACTAACAGTGAAAATAAGCAGATATTGTCAGTTTACCACGATCACAATTGCTTGTCACTGGATTTTGGGAAACATTGATGATATTGTCTTCAATCATTGTGGTCTGCCTATTCTTGTTGGTTTTGTCTATCAGGTGGTGGTGGCATTTTGCCAACTTCACTGGCTGTTGGTCTGTCTTATTTAGTCTTAATGTGTTCTTACTATCCTATAATTTTCCTTTTTTATATTCAACATAATTTATTATATTTTCTATTGTACCATTATTATTATATTAATTTCAAACAATCAGCAAATCAATAGCATTTGGCTAATGGTACAATATTGATAGTTCAAAATCAATAAATAAAGATAATAAAAACAGAGAATGAAAAATTTTATTTATTTTTTAAATTATTGTCAGCATTTTACTTATCAATGGATGTGGGTTTTTTTAGGATAACGAGGATTATATGAAAGAAGCGTTGAAGATAGCTGTCAAGGCTTTACAAAATGGTGAAGTTCCTGTAGGATGCCTCTTCATACTCGATGGAGAAGTTGTTGCACATGGTTCCAACGATGTTAACAGAACTAAAAACGCAACTAGACATGCAGAAATGACTTGCATCGATCAGGTCCTCGCCAAATATATGGATAGATCCGTGTTTGAAAAGATCACGGTAGTCGTCACAGTCGAGCCGTGTATAATGTGTGCAAGTGTACTTTACGAGTTGAAAGTCAAGTCTGTGATTTACGGTTGTGCGAATGACAGGTTCGGCGGTTGTGGTTCGGTTTTAGATGTGAAAAGGCTTTACCCAAGTTCACAGACTGTCGTTATCGGTGGTGTTCATTTAGACCAGGCGATGGGATTACTTAAAACGTTCTACAAGGGAGTGAACCCAAACGCTCCAATTGTAAAAATCAACAAAAGAAAAATTGGCCACCTGTGATTGACAGAAAACACGGTAATTGCTTTTTAAAAAATAAATTGATTATATTTATATTTTAATACTTGCTGCCTTCTTGTTTTAATTTTACATTGTATTAACTCCTTTTTTCTAAACCACCTTCAAAAACAAAATAACATTCAAAATACTGTGTTATAATGTCTTAAGATTAACACCATCCTGAAAGAATTGTTTTTGTTTGTGTCTACATTTTATATGTATTTTATACAAAAAAAAATCTTTCACAAAACATCTTTTAAATAAAATAATTAATTGCCATAGTGGGCTTATATAGCGAACTTATATACTTTCTTTCATAAGAAACATTTTTGTACATAAACTTATTTTATTTTAGCATTTTGATACTCATGTTCAATTCATTTCAAATCAGTTTTAAAATTATGTGTCTTCTTTTGTTGCTATTCTAGTAGTTCTTGAACTGATTTCAATAAAGCATGAGGAATGCTAGTCTGCTATTCATTGACCATTTTTAGAGATTTATTTTTCAGGTTTTCCTTTGTCATTCATTGTACCTTGAATGTATGGTTGCTTTATTTGAAAGGTTTGTTTAGTAGGGGTTTACTGTAATAATGTTACAAAATTGGCAAAAGTAAAGTTTTGACTTTGACATTGTTTTTTGTCATTAGTATTGCTTTTTTTGTACATGTTCCATACTAAATGATCAATTTCAGTTGTTTTTCTCAATAAAATAGACTAAGCGTGTTTTCTTCTTCTTTTTTTATTATAGGCAGTAATTTGTTTTTCTTTTGTTTCATTTTGTTTTTCAAATCAAACATCATGACAAAATAAGCCTTCATAAAATTCCCTCAGACTTTACAAATAAAGACTGTAAAAACAACTGTACTTAACATTCAAACAAAAATGCTTTCAGAGAACATCATTAATCGTATATGGTGTATTGTTATAACTTAAATTGAAATTATTACCAGTGTTTTTTAAAAACTATTTTATTCTATAATAATTAAGATTGAATATTTTAAGATGTTTGTATGAACTTTTTATTTTTTTTAATTTCCCCTCCCTGTCGATTTTAAAACCTTCTCTCTATCATCGCCAAGTTAATCAAATTTTCGATTGACCCAGCCTTTATGTCCAAAAAATGAAAGTGCACTTTTCTAATTTATTTAGGTGGTTCACCTTTCCAAAATGGTTGTACGGTATCTGCAGTCACAGCAAATTACTGTTCCAACTTTACCAATTAATTGTTCATAGATATACTGTTATAAATTCCATTCTGCTGAGTGATGGAATGTATTACTCCTGTTGGAAATAGTAATGTGCAAGTAGTTCATAGGCCAGTTGATTTCCTTTGACCCAGTCATGTTAGTTGCCATATTTTTTTTGCAAACATTTGAGAAATATTAGCCCAGACGAGATTGCACTATAAAGGATGTAGACTGCTGCTTGAGGCATTGAGAAAATGCTCATCTATGCATAGATTTGCAGACTTCATCTTGGTAGATTGAGAGAATGCATTCAGTTAGGCTAAGTATTTAAAAAATATAATCAGTTGATATTGGATTATTGTTTTTAATGGCTGTTTTAGACATTAGTGTCAATAACAATAAACAATAACCAAATTGTTTAAGAGTTGTCAGCATAGCATTAAACACATTAAAACCATAAAAAATAATTGTTTTAAAAACACAAAAAGGGCAAGGTGTCTTGTTTTGAGGGGTGTCAGCAAAGGAATAAAAGCAATTTCTAAAAATCTACATTTATTTGAAAAAAACATTATTTTTTAAAGTAATTTACAACTGGTGTATGTACAGGATAAAGTTTTAACCATACCATAACAAGAACTAATCATGACAAGCACATTTGTCCAGAACTAGGCGAAAATAACACATTTGACAAAAATAATAAATAATATAAACAAATATTTATTACAACGAAGAGGAATAGACAGGTTTAGGTGTTGTCTGTCTGTTCCATGTTGATGTCGTTCTCTTCGTGTATGCCACCGTTCATATTTTTGTACTCGATAGTCTCTTCGGAAGAGGTGTTTATCTCACTGCTCGTCGAACTGGAAGTGGAGTCGCTCTCCGAGTCTTGCGTACTCGACGAACAACGCTTCTCACCGATTTCCCTCAGCCTCAAATTCTCATTGAGCAACTTCTGATTGGCCAAGACCAACCTGGCTATCTCGCTCTGGAAGTTGAGTATTCTGTCGTCCGGCTTGTCCCCGTCCTCCGGTTTCGTGTCGCCGATCCGCTTCTGGAGGGTGTCGATCTTCTCTTCCAGGTGTATGACGGTCTGGATGAGCTCCGACTTGCTCATGGCGGTGAGGCTCTCGACGTGGAGGTCCTGGTAGGTGTTGGAGAACTCCTTCGTCAGGAACTCCTCCTCGTCCTCGGGAGAGGAGTAGAAATGGTCCTCTTCAGAGTCGGCGCTGGTGAAGCTAGGATCCCTTACCCGTCCCGTCCTCGCGGGTCCTAAGTCGCCCGGTTGGTCCGCGCCCCTGTTCACCGCCTCCATCAGTTTCATGTCGAAATCCTGCAAGTCGTTGTGGTCCTCGATGAGGAACTGGTTCGAGTTGTAAGGGGCGACCGGTTGTTCGTAGGTCGACTTACCGGCTCGAACCCTGATGTTTTTCTTCCCGCCCCTGTTCTCCGACATGTGCTTGCTGTAGGGGTTTTTCCTCTTCGTCTTCCTCCTCCTCGTCTTCTTCTTCCTCTCCGACTGGTCGTTGTCCGCCTCTTTACCGCTCTTGTTCGAACTCGCGCACTTCTCGTACTCGCCGTTCGGGGCGCTCTCCACCCCGCTCGACTCCGTCCGACATTTTACGTCACCGACAGTCATATTATTTCCCAATATATTTCCAACGAGGTTCGCCATCGCGTTAAATTCGGTACTGGACGCAACTGGGCTCACTCACTCCGCACCAAAGGCGAAAAAAGACATTTACGCATAATTTACGACGCTCTCACGATCCGAGGCGTGGCTATTCCGTGCTCGCTGTTCGGAGGACGACTGACTCGCCTCGCCACTCAGTCCGATCAGAATCCCCCGGCTAGTTACAGATACGGCCGCACGGCGCTCGCGACGCCGATCTTGCCTCCACCGCCCCCCCGCCTCGTCCCTCGTCTTTCCAATAAAAACAATTCCACCCTCAGACCATTTAGGAAGTATTTTCATTTTTATTATTTTGGTTATTACGCCCGTTATTACACCGCGCATATTTTTTTATCACATTAATACACCTCGAAATCGACTCTCCTCCCTATTTCAAGCCGGTTCGAGACGAAATGACAATCGCACTACATCCATCACACTTTTAATTCTGTTTTTTATTACACTAAAACTTCTTTAACAAGAGGATGGATTTGTTTTAACCCAAATTTAACAAAAACGAAATAAAATACAAAAGTTTAAACTATAAATAAATCCAGAAATCCTACATGATCCTATTAAAAATCCCCTTTTCAATTTTTGTTGTTTTCTTAACAAATATGATTTTTTTTGGGGGGGGGCATGAAAACCCCGTGTAAACAATTCCCCAACCGCCTGGGTCCGGCGTTTAATAGACCCCCCCGATCTCCCTCTACTCCCACAATTAATCCATAGATTATTATTGGATTAATTTAAATGACTTGATCGGATTACATCCTTGCTTAATTTGACTTGTGTAGGAAACGGCGAGACGAGTGCCAACGGGCCTTTCGAGACGGGGCCAACATGAAATGCCACACACACACTACGTCTATTGATCTATTAAATATAATCCAATAAAATATTATTTCGGGCGTTTCGACGATAAAAAAACATTTGAAAATTATCTCGCCGGGACCTGGGAGTGAATCAAAGACAATGATTCATGTTGTTTGATTTCTTAGTTACCAACACGGTTGTATGGTCTGTTGCGGAAATACGACTTCCACTTTTTATTTTGTGCCGTCCTCGCCTTCTTCTTTCACGATCTACAATTAAACATGAATCTCGCATTAACGGCTACAACACAAACACGATCAACAAAAGCACACAAAACAATACGACAGACACTAAATGGACAATATTAAATTAGGAATTAAAACCGTTTTGAAGTCGAACACAATCGCAAAAATACTAAATTATTGACAAAGCCAAGTCAATTGATTAAAATGGTATATACACCATAATATGCGAGAGACGATACAACGGGCAGGCAGGAGGTAAAAAAAGATAGATACGACATATCAGATCGTTTAGGGACAACGACGAAAATCAAACTATGCGACACACCCCACAGAAAATCATCATTAACCCTTAACAATACATTTAAGCATGATACTACAACACAACTTTCAAAAAGGGCGAAAAATGAAACTATTCGAAAACTTGGAAATGTACAAACAACACATTTAAAACTTAAAAATTTATAAATACACAAAGGGGGCGTCGGTGGCCGCAACGCTTTAGGCGTTGACACGGCGTTCATCACTGAGGTAAAGGTCCCGGGTTCAAATAACCTCGTAGTTGAATTACTCTCGTAAAATAAATAAATACACAAATTAAAATCAGATCACATACTACAGGAATAAAAAAAAGAACAAGGGTGGAAGGTCAAAAGACCGACCGTAATAATAAAAAACAGTGCTTAAACCACCAAAAGCACCGACAAGCAGTGGTAACGCCGACACACGACAAACCTTAGGACTTTATCAAAGATACTTAACTTGACAGAATCTTACAGATCCAACACTGAAGACAATGAATTGCCGAAACGCATCTGACAGACCAACCCAGCCAGAACAGTTGGACCAAAATGATCAGTAACGACCAAATTTCCGTTTCATTACCCGGCAGACACGTAGAGAAATCTCACAATGTTATATTTTAACCTGAACTGGTACGATATTATCACTTTTTACTAGTGTTTTATTACAAATAAGTAGATAGAGATTAAATTATTACTTCTACATCGATTTAAAACTGCAGTCAGTTCTAAAAGTTCTTTAGAGCACAGTATCCACATTTTATACATTTTCCACTCGTTTTGTATCGAACAGTTATATACTTTAGCCTAGGCTTATACAATATTATCGCGATACTACTTAGTACTTTCTAAATACTATATTACTAATTAAAATAAAAAAGGTAAATAGAGATTAGTGGGCTATCAGGGTTTCACAATTCTAAGGAAAGCTCTGTACTATAAAAAAAGGTCTTTTATCTCAATTCTGCAGTTATCAAACAAGCCAATTTTCTGCAATAACACCACTTCAACAAGCACGTTCGAATAAAATTATTTTTTGATAAAAAAAAGAAGTGTGGTGCCTTTTAATCGGTTATATTTTAAGCTTGAGAAGAGAATAAACGAAGCCAGGTTCAACGCATCCGGCAATATTGACAAATTCCATTTGTAAAAACTGCTATTTGTTTATTGATTAAGCATTTAAAGTAGGGTTAGATCAGAAAATATCAATACGGAAGAATCGTACGTGGAAGAGATGTCGGCCCATAAAATTCATCGGTAATAGTTACATGACAATGAAGTTAAATGACCCGTTAGGTCTTACCGTTCAGACACACAGGCGATATACCAACAAAATAGAAGCATTCGAAGGGAAAAACAAAGCCAAATAAATATAAAATCAAAACTTAACGTTACTTTTAGATTCAACAATTGGGGGCTTTTTTAAACTTTAATTAACATGCAATCAACATGTTCTCCTTTGTTCCATCCGAAAATACGCGTTTTCATTATTATAAACAATATTAATTTCTTTTTTATTCTTTCTTCGTTGTTGTTCTTTTTTTATAGATGAAAAATTCTTTTTTGTAGGTTTTTAATTTTTATTTTTAATTATAATTATTAGTGACCGTTAATCGATGTCCAGACCGCATTTCACGATCTCCGAATAATCCATTCATAATAATTATTATTACGATTTTTAAGTTTTACGACTTTTTATGTCTAATTTTTTCGATAAGGAGGTTTCGGCGATCCTGTCCACTGTAAAACGGGCAGCCATGTTGGCAATTTTGTTTTTCATTTTTTTTTCAACCTTTGTTGATACAATATTTTATTTGAAAATGGTTTTACATACTGAAATAAAATATATCTTCTCGAAAATGACACAGGATCGATAAAACGTAGAAAAATCGTAATTTTTATTAAGAAGAAAAAATGGGTCCGCCATGCGGAGAATGCTCGATGTGGCCCACCTATGTACTTCATTGAGGGGTGCAATTCCTTGGCTCCATATAGAGAGCATGTAGATATGAGAACTGTGCTTGAGCCCTGCAGCGAGTATCTGGGTCCCCTGTTCCGATCCTTGAAAGAAACAGGGTTGTTCTAGAGTATATTATAACAATGATAGTTTTGTATCCATAGTGTTTGGCGAGAGTGAATGTATATTAGCGTATTTAGCATAGTGAATGTATATGTAGTATTTATTAGCAGGAATAGTGTGAGATGGTCGATAGAGGAAGTTTCCCATCGACCCTCAATTAGGTTAGTTATATGTGTAGAGGACGGTGGAAAAATATCGACTACTTCACCGCCCTAATGGAGTGAATGGTTTGAAAATAAGTAAGCATGTATTTAAGGGTCAGGCAGAGTGTGAATGGATGTAGAGACTGATTGTCTTGGGAGCGAAATGACCTAGCTGTTACCAGCACCCAGAGCCAAACCTCGGTGGCTAGACCGAGGTCTGACCCCGGACTGCCACAATCGGGGTGGGTGATTCTCGAGGCCTGCTGTTAATTATTGTAAATTATAAATGCTGGAATTGCCGGTGGACTGCGATAATATAGTCGCAACTCTGTACATATGTGTGGTGTTTAGTGACCGTTAGTTAATGATTATTTGGACATACAGACACATATATACAGATTATTTGGAGATCGTGAGATGCGGTCTGGTGTGACGTAGGTTTTAGAAAAACATTTTCTTTATCGTGCCAACGCAACGTGCACTCTCAACACAAGAATGACACATCTACACAGAAAACAAACAGCCCTGAAGCTGCTTTGAGCCCTGAAGATGATCTCAATAAAGATCGAAACGTTGGCGCGATAAAAAAAAAGTTTTTCTAAAACCTACGTCACACCAGACCGCAATTCACAATCTCCAAATAATCTTTACATATGTGTATGTATGTGCGTACCTATATAGATTTGAGCTTATATCAATCCTAAACAATATTTACAGTTAATTTAATGTTTATTTATCAATACTCACAAATTATATTTTTTGTTACAATTATATTTATAATGTATATTCGATTAAATTTATTTTATGGGACATTGGCATTCAAATTGTTAGTTTGTCTGCTGATTTTTAAACTTTCATATTTAATATTTAACAACAAAAATGTATGTTTTTTCTTAAGGTCGACAGAAGGTTAGTGGTTATACATACAATAAAGAATAGCGCGATTGAGCATCTAATTACAATTATGTAATTACGGAAAATATAACAAAAACCAAGGGAAGTTGACTTACAAAGTCAGTTGCATTTAAATTTTTATTCGTACTCTCTCTCTCTCTCTCTCTCTCTCTCTCTCTCTCTCTCTCTCTCTTTCTCTTTTTCTTTCTCTCTCTCTTTCTCTTTTTCTTTCTCTCTCTCTCTCTATCCATCCATCCATCTATCTTCCTATCTCTCTATCTATCCCTTTCTCATTTTAACAATCACATATCTTTATTTGCCATACTAGCCGTTCTATGTCCGAATTACGACATAGCCCTCGGGCTTGTATTTTAAATCAATTAAGAAAAACGTTTTGTGATATTTCCCCTCACCCACGATACCCAAATGTTAGTTGGATGCCATCCCCTGCTCTATGACTGGAATTATGTACTTTACTTTTCTTACTCTCTGAATATGACACTCTTGCTCTGTTTTTTCCGTTTTTACCTTGGCCTTTTTCTTATTTTAATCCACAGGCTCTACTCTCTCATTCACTCTCTCTTGATGTTTTTGTTTTTATATTAGCACTTCGCTGATTTTAATTATCGTGCTCTTTTACTCTCTGTTTATCTCTTCCTGTTTATTTCTCCCTCATTTTTTATATTCCCCCGCCATTC